ATACAACACAATTAAAACAAATAAATTATAAATTATATTTTTGAAGATAAATAAATACCTTTGCTCGTATACATATGATTGGAATGTTTTGCCGAAATTGGTGACATCTTTCTAACTACTTCATCAGCCTTTAAAAATTTTTTTTTAACATCATTTTCATCAGAACGATTTATAATTTCATACCATTTTTTAATATTTTCATAAACATTTAAAATAGTTGGTCGTTTTTGATGATCTTTATCCATACATATTTTAGCCAATTCAATATAAAATTCAGGAGTTCCAGGGGCAAATCCTGGTCTTTCTCCTAAGCAAATCCTTAAAACAAGTTCATTTCCAAATTCATATCCATCAAAAGGTCTTTGTCCAGTTGTCATTTCAGTCATAATAACTCCAAAGCTATACACATCGGCTGCATTTGTAAATTCCATTTCTCTCGACAAAACTTCCGGTGCTACATAAGGAATAACACCATAAATTTTATTTGTTTGATTACTTTTGCTTTTAATAGAAGATCCTAAATCAGAAATATACGATCTAATATTTTCATCTTCATAATTATCAATCAAAATATTACCAGAATGTAAATCTGAATGAATATACCCTGATCTATGAATTTCGTACAAGTCTTCTGATATATTTAAAAGTATTTTCAATTTAACTTGCCAGGTGAGAACTTTAAAATTTGTTTTTAAAAAACTATGAAGACTTCCTTTGTCTGCATACTGAAATACCATGAAATATTCATCCGTTTCTGGATTTTGAGTCAATCCATATATCCTAAGCTTACTACCAAAATTTCTACATTTTATATGATTTTTAAACTCTTCAAAGTTGTTATCAATATCAGACATATTCTTTAACGCAATAATGCTAGATGGTAAACGTGCTTTTAAATAATTATCACTATCAATTTTTCGTATACCATCTAACCAAATTGCAGAAAACACGGAACCAAATCCTCCCTCACCGATCTTTTTAATATCTTCCAACCTATCAAATGGAATCCATTCGATCATGTTTTCATATTCAAAAGTTTTTAGCTGAATTTCTTTTATCAACAAATCTATATCTTTATTATCACTTGTCCATCCTAGTATAAATATATCCGGATCGCACGTTATACACCATGCATTATGTGTATTATTTTTGTTACAATAAACACATCTCGCATATTTAGAATTTCGGTTAATACGATGAAAAGCCGAATTATCATTGTGATTATCAAATATATGGATGAAAAATATAAAACTTAAATATATGATATAAAGAATAGTCACCATGTCATAAATATCACCAACAATGCCATTTTTTCTGCCACGAAACATTAATAAGAAAGGGATATTTCTAAGATCATCAGATTCAATATTTAAGTGTTTCCATATACAACAAATAAAAAAATAAAATCCAAGATCAAACATAGAATTATAAGAAATTAAGATAAAAATTGTAGCGATCCAAAAATATAAATTAATATTTGTACCAAAAATAAAAGTAAGAATTACCAAAATTAATATAATTTCTGTCCAATTAGCTGATAAAAACCCATAATAAAAACCAGTAAATATAATAGAAAAATAAGCAGCATAAAAAACTAACGAAATGAATACAATAAAAACTAAAGAATTACGAGAAAAAATTTTACGATCGACACGAAACGAACCATCAATATCTAATGTATCATAAGCAACAGCAATTGAAGAAATTGAAAAAGCAAGAGAAGAATCATTTTTAATCCAATTTTTAAAAAGGTTATAACTTTTCTCTACTCCAATTCCATATCTATAGCAAATTGCAGTCTTAAAAATTCCCAAATCATAATCGGAATTAGCAGATCTCAAATAATATTCAAATGCTTTTTTCTCATTCTTTTCGACACCGACACCCCAATAATAGCAAAATCCAGTCCAAAATAGTCCTTCATTATCATTTAATTCAGCTGCCTTCTGATAATATTCAAACGCTTTGTACTCATTCTTATTGACACCGATTTTGTTACCATAATAATAACCAATATGAACCATTCCTACGGAAAAACCCATGTCAGCTGATTTTTGATAATATTTTTAATACCGTATCCATTTTCATAGCAAATTCCAACATTATATGTACCATTAACATTACCCATATCTGCCGCCCTCAAGTAATGTATAAACGCTTTACTATTATCCTTACTTACTCCTATCCCATGTCTATAACAATATCCAACACAGTTTATTCCTTCTGCGTACCCCATTTCTGCTGATTTTTGATAATATTTAAACGCCTTATTTTTATCTTTTTCTACATTTATACCATAAAAATATTTTTCTCCAAGCATAAGTAGCACTTCAGCAGTAGACTGATGAAAAGTACTGTAAGAAATTATAGAACCGGAGCTCTTTTCACTCATGTTTAAAAAAAAAATAAAGAATCCTCAAGTTTTTTAAATTTCTTTTTTTAAAAGAAAAATACAACACAAATTTCGTAAACCGTAACACAGTAATGTCACATTTACTACAGTGGATACTACTTATAGAACAAGAGGAAACATTAACGTTACACATCTAACCCCACACCAGGTGCGCACAATTAGGAAAAAATTTAATTATGTTCTGCCCACTCTAATTCCCATGTTAAGAATCGTAAACAAGCGGTAAGCAGAGAAATTTGCTCAAAAGTTTATTTATGATAAATATTCGTTTTAAGCAATATTTAATACAGTATGGTGGAAAAATCGGGGTTTTCAGAACTTAAAGCCAAAAAGAATGAGATCCAAAAAGATCTAGAATCTGTTAATAAAAAAAAAAAAAATACGGAACTTGATACGAATCTTAAAGAATCCGAAAAAAAAGTCATGAACCTCGATACGAAGCTTATAGAATCTGAAAAAAAAGTCACGGAACTCGATATGAAACTCATAAAAAGGTCACTAAAAAAGTCGCTGAACTCGCTAATAAGATTAAAGAATCTCAAAAAAATATCAATAATCTCAAAAAGGAATGCGATAAACTTTTCCAGGAAAAAACGACCTCACCCGTCTTACCATTTCATTGCATCATCATTTTCACCATTTCACCAATTACACCAATTACACCAGTTACACCATTACCGATTAGTGATTGTGAAATTATTTCGCCACCCTAATTTGATTTCACCAGCATCACTAGTTGTAACATTCAACTACACAATGAACAGTGATTTTTCTTTGGAATCCCGAATTTTCATATACTGTTTGAAGAAAAATTAGCATTGGAACCTTGAAACAATAACTAAATTATATCTTCTAATATTACCTATTAACAAGGTAGTTGCATTAAAACCAGGACGGAACAGATGCACCAGTAATTATATTCAAAGTTCTATAATCGATAAATTATAAGACTAGAAGTGTAAATCGATTCTTAAAACAACAACCTAGAATCAATGATCGAATCCTAAATACCATATATTGTTATTTCTCACACTAAACTGCTCGATTGAACTTTATCAAATCTAGAATATTGTTATTGCTGTACTATTTATTTTTGATTTTAATTGAATAAAATATTTAAATTTCAAGCTGATGACGTTTTGTTCTAATTGTAGCCATAACAATAAACACAACTCACTTTATAAATAATATATGACTGAATTATTTATATATCTATTTATTTATGCAAAAAATTCGAATGACGGTCTTAAATATCAAACAAGAACTGGCCACTATAGAATGGCTGTATATAAACTATATGCTTAAATTTTAATGACACTAAGGTTTTTATTGCACTTTTGCAAAAAAAAAAAAAATCTAAACTGCAGAAATTATGTAAGTTTTAATCCAGCAATTTTGAATAATATTAATATAACCGATCGAAGATATGGATTAATAGATGATTTAGAATCTCAGAAATCTTCCTTGATTAACATCACAAAAATCATCGGGTCACGTCTTTTTTCAAAGTGCTATAATAGCAACTTCATTTATTACCTGAAAGCAGAGAGAAATTGAAATTTGGACATTTATAACGCTTTGCAGAAAAATTGACCTGTTGCAACGATTTATCCAAAGTAGCTACTTTATATAATGTATCTAAAGTAGTGCTTGACTAAAATTAAGCATGTAGTTTTGGTCAGGCGCTACTTTATAAAATGGCTACTTTAGATGCAACAACCCCCATGTTTTTTGTGAAGATCGAGGGAAGTTTCTGAGGTTCTAGATTGTCTATTAATCCACATTTTCTATCGGTTATATTCATATTTGAAATCCTTAAAATCTACAGAATCACCAATTCTCACTTGACAGCATGATCTGCAGAGGTTTGCAAAGCACAATACGCATTTATTGCGCTTTGCAAAAAGATGTGACCCATGATTTTTGTAAAGGAAATTTCTGATATTCTAGATCGTCTTTAATCATTATATTTCATAACATACCGGAATTATACTTGCTGGCAAAACCCGAACAAATCCCAAATTCCAAAAAAACAATTGCTTTTATAAAAGTTTAATCAAACAAGTAATCTTGATACTGTATTTTGCAAATATATTATCTATAACTATAAGAATATATACTACTGTATTTGTTTAAATAAAGATTATTCATAAAGTTTTTAAGATATTAATTTGAGATGAATTTGGGATTTGGGAGCGAACAAATTCATACTACCGGCTGAGGCCCAAAATCAATATAAATTAAGGCAACTACTTCATATTTCCAATAAGGAAAAAAAAATAATAAAATGTGTTTTACAATATTAAATAAGTTTAGCATTTGGAAAATATTACTATTTTAATTGTATGCTAGATTGTTCTATAGTATATATTCATATACTGTACTAAGCATATTTTATATTACTTATATCAAATTATTGAGAGTTATTGTTAGAAATACTAATCTATTTCTATTGCTTAGAAAGTTTTTCTGTGATAATTTTTATTATTGTATGCTAGATTGTTCTATAGTATAAATTCATATACTGTACTAAGCATATTTTATATTCAAATTATCGAGAGTTATTGTTAGAAATACTAGTCTATTTCTATTGCTTAGAAAGTTTTTTTGTGATAATTTTTATTATTTTTAATATATCTTCTTTACCTTCGGCAATTTTCATTATGCTTTGAAAATTTTCTTATATAACTATCATCAACTTTCATGATTCTTTGAGAACTTTCTTATATAATTATCTATTATTATTATCTATCATCAATTTCCATTATGCTTTGAGAACTTTCTCCTAGTATATCATTATCACTACCAACCTCTATAATACTTTGAAAACTTTCTTTATCATTATAATCAACTTCTATCATGTTTTGAGAACTTTCTCCTAGTATATCATTATCACTATCAACTTCTATAATACTTTGAGAACTTTCTTTACCATCGTTATCAACTTCTATCATACTTTGAGAACTTCCTTCTAATACATTATCATCACTGTCAACTTCTATAATGCTTTGAGAACTTTCTTCTAATATAACATCATCATTATCAACTTTTATTATACTTTGAGAACTTTTTTCTAATATATCACTATCAACTTCTATTATACTTTAAAAACTATCTTCTGATATATCATTATTATCAGCAACTTTTATTATGCATTGAGAATCTTCTTCTAGTATATCATCATCATCAATTTCTATCATATTTTGAAAACTTTCTTCTAATATTTCATCTTCACTTAACTCTTCTATATTTTTATCATCAACATAAGCAGAAATAATAGACTGTAAATGGTTAGACATTTTATAATTTTCAGAACCATCAGGATTTAGTACAAGACCTGTTGCTTCAAATAATTTTGACAAAATATTTGAATCAATTTCCTTCCATACTTCTGATACCTATATACTAATTAAATTATAAGACACCTTTTTATGATTACCTTTTTTTGTAAATTTTTTTTTGTCATAAGCCATCTATTTTTTCTATTTTTTTCTCATTTCATTTTTGAATAACTTATTTATAGAAACATCTGGTGGCTGTAGCATACTAGTTGTTCCACTTGGTATTTGTATGACCTCTAACTTTTCTAAGTTTAATGCCTTTATAACATCATCTTGTATATGACTACTATGTTTATCAACAAATATTACTCCTTTACTTTTAAGAAACCCATCAGGTCTAGCACATATAACCTGCAATAATAATGCAATTTAAAATTAATTTGTTAATAAACTGATTGCTATAAAAATTATGGCAATATATATTACTAACTTGAGAAATATATATAGATAGCATTAATTCACTTTGCATATTAGTACAAGGTATTGTTATTAATACAACATTCTTTGGAAAATTTCCTTTTGAAATTTTTTTTAATCCAAAAATTATTGCTGAAGGAAGCTTTTTTTCAGATGCAGTAAATGTTAAAACAACAGTAAATCTTAATTTATCATTTCCAGTAGTTTTTATTAATACTTCATGCACATCTCGAAAATCAATTGTTGAGTCTCGTGGCATATCGAACCATACAGGAGTCTCATCAAATGAAATAATATAATTTTTTTTTATAGTTTTAGTTATTTTTTGTGAATGATTAAGAAAATTTTTAATAACTACTGGTGCATCCTTAGAAAATTTTTGTGCTGCTTGTTTACGTGCATGTTGTATTAAATTATTTCGATCTTTAAATCATGTAGCCCAACTATGTGATGTCTTAAAATTTTCTAGACCTAATCTTTTTCCAAGCTTTTTTGCTTTTTCTTGAATTATCGATGTTGTTACACAATTTTTTTCTCTTTGCATTTTTTTAATAAAATCTAATAATTCCTGTTCTAATTCAGGATATATGGCCTTTCATTCATGACCTTTAAGCACTCATATTTGGTTTGAATTTAAGGTTCTATCATATTTAATAGCCTCAAGTTCGGATTTTTGCTTTATCCACTCTTTAACTCTTTTTCTATCTATTTTATAATGCTTTGCTGCATTAAGTTTAGAAGTTTTTTCTGCATATGATATTACTTCAAGTTTGAATGCCACCATATAACTTCGTTTTTTATTTGTATTAAAATTATTTTTATTCATAATTGTAAGTTTGAAAATAAGGGATACTATTAATATAAACAGAGTTTATATAACAAAAGCTTTAATATAATTAAACTTATAATATTTGATTTATACAAAGTAGTACTCTTTGATATATTAAAATTATATTCACAAAAATTTTAATTAATTATAGTAAATAAAGTAATTAAATCATAGTGATATCATATAGTATAATATATTAGAAACTAATATAAAGTTTAAAATAAAAAAAAACTTTAATATATTATTAGAGACCTGATCGATGAATAATATATACAAATTTTTGGTAAATATCTAAATATCAAAACATATATTCGAATAAGTTTTATTATACTACTCTTTCAACTCAAGATCAAAGTTTTATTAGTTCAAAATTACCATCAATTGTAATAAAATTCTAAATAAACCTAAATGTTAAGAGAACTTAATTTCTACCTAATATGTAGATTTAAAGTTAGAAAAGAAAAAAAATTTAATATTTATGCTATTGCTATAACCATTTTTTAATGATGTTCACAGGGTTACATACTAAACATGTCATTTAATAGACATAACATATTCAAGTAAAATCAAGAAAACTGTAGGTATAGAATATCTATCTAAGTAAATATTACACTTCTGGAGAACCTTAGTGATGATAATGCCTATTTAGCTGAAATGTATTAAAAAGAGGCATGATAGTAATTTTTAATTATGAGAGGTCTAATTATAATGAAGAACACTTTTATTAACTAAAATATTTCTTTCAAAATTACCATAGCTACTACTCTTAACAAGAGGTTATTTATTATATAAGTGCCGCCAAGGAAAACCTGTTATCAGGCTTTCAATTTTATTTTGTACCGGATTTAATCTATTTAATTTGTTAAGAATTATGTCTAGTATGATATAAAATAAAATTGAGAGCCTGATGACAGGTTTTCTCTTGGTGGTACTCATATATTGAGTGGCAAATTTAAATCTTATAGTAAAAAAAACTTAGCTGTTGTAGAATTTTATAAGATCATATTAGGAATATGAAATATATTTAAGTAGTATTACAATAGTATACAACAATATACAGAATATAGATTATTTATTAAAAAGTTATACATTAAGTATAAAATTTTAAATATATTATACATTCTATATAATTTTAATAAAAAAAAAATTTATATTTTATTATAATGTATAATAAAATTTATATATATAATTTATTGTGTTTTGAATATTATATAACATGTAGTTTTGTATTATTTATTTATTTATAAAGCCTAATTTAATAATTAATTATTGATAATCAATCATAGCATAAAAATAGTCACAGGGTTACATAATAAATTTACTGTGCTCTATACTCAACAAGTATCTACAGCACCAATGCCAAAGTGCATGAAGAGCAATTCTGAGCATCTTTTTGAATTGTCATCTTCACAAGAAAAATATATAGTACAATTATTTATCATTATTGTTATTGAGAAATTAGTCAATCAAGAAATTAGGTATCTGTTCATTTTCCTAACAGTCATCTTCCCTACAACTATTTACCCAATATTGCATAGATTAGAATTAGTTGCAGGTATATGCTATTAGTAAATTATCACCTGTGTAAATAGCCTGTAGGAGAAATGACTGTCAAAAAAATAAGACATAGAGCGTTCCAAGCCAGGGACACGAGGAAAATGTGATTTTATTTATAGGATTTTCAAATCCTATAAATAAAATTGCATTTCCTCATGTCCCTGTTCCAAGCACTTTTTCAATGAACTCAGCAAAGAATTCGATTAATCTGTGTTTAATTAAACTAGACAACCAAATTTCTTATCAGATCTGTTGAAAAAAGTGCTTGAGAACGCCTATGACCTTTTCTTAATAGATAGCAAAATTGTCAAACTGAGAACACTTTGTAGTTATTAGATGATGTATCTTGGCAGTGAATCTCTTTAATTCTTAGTATTTCTGAGTGCAGATCTGAGGACACATTTAGGTTATTAAATGTGGCAGCTTATGCTGAGATTAGCTTATATTGAAAATTTGTTATGAAATTATAAAAATTTTTTAGATCTTTTTTGTGAAAATTTTTTATAATTAAATTAGAAATTAGAGCTAGTATTTATAGTAGAGTATATATGAATTTTAGTAGCTATCAAGGATTTAAATAAGGTCCCAAAATTTCAGCACAAGATGCCACAATAAATATAAAATCTAATATATAATATATATATAGTACTTACAAGATTTTGAATAATGTTACTTCATGTAAAAATAAAAGCTTATTATTTTCTTAGCAAAATATAACCTGCCTATCCATTATTAATTTAATTGTAAAAGCTTATAATGATATTTGTTAACATCTATTTATTTGCATTATATAAATATTTTGATTATGATTACTATTTAATGCATACAAAGCCATAAATTGTTTATCTTTACAATCCTATAGAACTAAGTTTTATTTGAATAGTGATCAATAACTTAAGATTTTATTATAATTATAGAAATTTAATATTATGTCAGTAAGTACTATATAGCTAGTTTAAAAAACTTCTCTTTTATAATACCCTCATGATTTTGGAGGTCTAGAATGTATTGTACCTGGGTATTAAAGATGAATAAATTAAAAAATGCAGCGCTTTAAAAATAAAATACTAAAGATGGATTAATACGGATTAATTGCACTTGAAAATAAAATACCATCTTTGAGTAGCAGCACTCATGTAGTGCAATTTATACCTCCTATGCTAACTATAGGTTCCCTCTAACTATAATACCCATATATCCCATTATTGGCTAATAACATAGGAAACATTTATTTAAACTTAAATCAGTATTAAACTTAAGTATAGCTATTAACTTACTGTTATATTTAAACCTTTTTCAAAGTTTCTGGAACCAATATCTGAAGAATCTCTATTTTGCTAGTAATTTTATTATAAGTAACAATCTTGTCAAGGCATATTATATAGTTCTTGAACAGTAAAGGTCGACTTGGTTTATTTGCATTGTGAAAATCTCTGGAATATTATTTAACATATTCTTTGAAGAAAAATTAAAGTTGTTTTTGTATAACCTATTTGACTGCCAATGGTCTGAATTCATATATAAAATTCTTGACATTTGTAGCTTTGTTATATAATTTATTTATGTATCTGTGTTCCAACTGTAATTATTTTTAGCTATCTAAGTTTAAGAATAGCAATTTGAAATAATCAGCAAAAATAAATGAACAGAAACAGACAGAAACAAATAAAAACAAACAAAAACAAACAAAAATGAACCTAGTAGCAAGTAATAAATTTAATTTTTAATTAATTTAAAATGATCCAAACTGTGATTATATAAAATTTATAATTATTTTATAATGATAAATAAAAATTATAAAAAACATCGGTGTTTAAAAAAATTTTATTTAAATTGATTATTAGTTTGCTTTAAATTTATGTCTTAAAATAACGCCCATGGGTATTATTTTGCGCAAATATGGTAACTGTTTATTTGAACTACAAAAGCTAAAACCAGAAACTGGCACTTAATTATATTAGAAGACTTCAATGCCAACCAACATAGAGACAAACATCTTTCACTATTCACTGAACTAAATGCTGCTAACTTAACTAGCCTTCTAACCTTTTATAATATTCAAGCACCCATCTGGCAAGGGCCTAATAATGCTAGCCAAATTGATAACTTCTGGATCTCTTCAGATATACTACTAGCATTTGAACCTCTAGTACTA